CTCCAAGAGGAGGGCTGCCCTGGGTACTTCTCAGAACCCTGCCAGGCCCAGCCTGGCCTGGCAAGAAATCAGTCACAGGGCTGCCCCTCTTGGATCACTGGAAAGTTGGAGAACCAAAAGACCTCCTGGCTTGTATCACTGTCTATAGAATAACGATGCTGCTCAGCCTCAGACAAGATGTGAAGAGATGCTTAATGTCTCCATTCCAGCTCCTACTCACAAGACAACCAAAGGCTACAGTGCGGGGCCAAAGCAGACTCTTCTTTATTCTCCCATTCCCAGTTCTGCCAAAAATAGATGAGAAAATAGATACAACTTCTACCCAGGAATGTTAGAGTGAGCGCATCATGTCTCTCTACCTCCCCTTCCTATGCTGATCTATCTAACTGGTGAGATTGCAGGGCTGGGACCCACTTGGCCCTAATAACCAGGGTGTCTGGACACTGCGATGAAAGGCAGTAGGGACCTGGCTCTGGGCTCTGGATTTCTCAAGAGAGTGGGTTTGTGAAGTGGCCACAAGATTGTGTTTCATATGGCTTCGTGGTCCTGCACCCACTCTCCCTGTAGGAGCTCAGGCCTTGTGGGCCAACTGCAAAGATCCAAGGTCTAGACTTGAGGCCAGGAATAGATCATTGCACTTCTAACGTGGGCCCAGGCCCAAGCTGCCCCTTCCAACATGGCTTCCTAGAGAGCCCTGCTCTCTGGGCAAGGGGCTGGTGTATGATCCTGTGTGGCTCCCCTGGTTTGTTTCTCTGCTGGGAGAATGCAGAGGTGAGGCCAGATGAATGATCACACCCTGGAAACCCCTGCAAATGGCCTATTGGCCAGAAAACCTTGGGATGTATTGTGTCTGGAGACCCAGGAGAGACCAAGTCTGTGAATCCAGTCAGGGTTCTCACATCAGTCAGAGCTTTGGCAAACAATTTCTTCTGAGGCATTCCCTGGTGAAGCTTTTATTGTGTCTTAGGCAGGACAACAAGACATGAGGGCTGGAGGAGGCACCAGCTCTTCCCCCAGAGTGTGATTTTGGTCTCTGAATTGTCAGTGCCAGACAGAAATGGGCAGGTAGCACCAGAGCACCAAGCACACCCATCGCAGAGGGTTTCCCTTCATTCACCTTTCTCTGCTTATTCGCTTTCTCTTTGGAGAGAATGCTTCTAAGTCCTCTCTCCAGCCCCTCCTCATTTTCCTCCTGAAGATGAGGCTAGGGGTGCTCCCAAGTTAGTAGGATGGGTTGCTCTGCTGTAGTCACTGGCTCTGCAGGGTTGGGGCTGGCAAGGCTCCCCCTCACCCAGTTTCAGCATCTCAGGCTGTGTCTGGGTGCTGAGGCAGGCTGGCTCTCCACTAGAACTGGCTGTCATCCACCAAGGGAGCAAGGAGGAGAAAGTACCATCAGGACTTTAGGCCCAGGCCACATCCTTCAGCACAGTGGACCAGAAGGTCTGTATTTTACAATTTCCAGGAGTTCTCATCAGTTAAGGAGCTGTCCCTTGATTCCAATCTGGCTTTTGTGTCACTTCCTCCATTGGTCAGAACCCAAAGGGTGAATGGTTGTGACTGACATCCCCAAACTTCCAAACACAGTAACAGAAGCATGCCCCACTTGTGTCTGGAGGAAGCATCAGGGCCTCCACTGCTTGCTACCAGGCTTTCCTTGCAGCCACTCATTTGACAGTTTGTGTACCTTGTCTCCAGCGGGTACCAGATCAGGTGGAAGCACCGTCCAATCCATCAGGCGGCAGCAGCCTAAGACCCACTGTGTTTGACATGGCAATTAGAACAGGTCCCAGCCAGCTTTAGTTTCTGCCAGGAAATCCAGCCCTCCCCAGCTATCCTGAAGCACAGCTTGTCATGCAGGGCTTCCCCATCAGGAAAGGAAGCAACGTGACAACAAGAGGTTGAGTGACCAAGGTTGGACATGCAGGTGGCGACTCAAAGGGAGCAGGAACCAGAGTCCCATGGGATGCAAAACCACCAGCTCGGCTTGGTTGTTGGAGATGGGCCAAACACAGGGCCAAGGGTTCAAGGTATGCCCCATCCACCATGTACTGGCATTTTTTCTTTCTCCAAACAAGTCACATTCTCTGTTTGTCCCCAAGCACCACGCAGTATCAGCATTAGCATGTCAGGTCCAAGAAGTGACCCGGAGGAGATTTTTCTCTACCTTGCCTGGTCAACAGGAGAGGACGTTCAGACCACCTGGCTATGGCACAGACACACTGACACGGAAAAGGATGAGGTGCTGCTCTCTGATCTAACTGTTGTTGATCCCGAGCAGAGTGAAGATGGGCTTCTGAAGCCTACAGAATTATTTCTGAGTCTCCTCAGCTATTAACCTGGGTAGGAGAAAAAGCAGATGCAAGTGCGCCATGATAGGGACCATCAACAGCACCCCCTTAGCCTCATTATCATGGGGAGGCAGTGAATGGTAGCTCTTGTCACTGCCATCATCACCACCATTACTGCAAAAACCAGCAGTCACGGCACACCTAGTAGCCACTGCAGCTACACATAGCAGGAGAGCGGGGGAGGGAGGAAGGGAAGAACCTAGTTCCCAGGCAGTCTGGGCAGCCCCACTCTGTTTCATAACATTGGTCTCCTCCCACCTCAATAGCAGAAGTAGAAGCCAGAGAACCCCTCCCTATGAAGGGGAAGACCCCAGGATCCAGGCAGAGGAAGCAGCCTCAACTCCCCAGAGCTGAACAGGGGAAACCTCCACTCACCCACAGGCCAACTTCCCACAGAAAGCCTTGGAGGAAACACTGCAACCAGGTGGGGCAATGCCAACACCAGGGTCCCTGAGGAGCTTGGGCTAGGAACCAGCTCTTACATTTGCCAGTACGGGGTGGGAGGGCTTAGCTCATTTGTGACAGGCAGAATACATTTCACTGTCAAAACGTGGACAAATGACTGAGCTTTTATAATGAAGGGATCCTTTTTGACTTTTGACTGATACTAAGGGGAAAGCTGAGGTCTCTTGGGTCAACTGCAAGACTGGCATGGCTGAGACAGGCTTCCCTCACGAGGACTTTGCAAAAACTCATCATCGTGGTTCCCACATGAAGGTAATGAATGGAACAAATGGGTCAGATGGCACATCTGACACACAAGACACAATCTCAGAGTTTAAACCACAAATGGGCACAGAGCCAGCAGGGCAACATTCCCTGTGGCCCCACAGGGAGTATCTGATACATGTCACACTTCAAATACATTTTCTAAAAACTTCAAAACAACATGGCCATCTGAAACAAAACAAAATGGCTATTGCTTAGGGACAATTTCAAGAGAAAATTTATATATTTAAAGAAAAACAGAGATACCAAACTGCCACGCCTCCTCCTATTTCTAAAAAAAAAAAAAAGGTAAAAAAAAAATTAAAAGGAATAACATAGTAGAGTGTACTTTTCAGGCCTCAGTGGTTTAATGAGCATGGGAAATTTCAAATTGGCATTTCCAGTCGGGAGAACAAATTCTCTGGGATGAATGTCTTGTCAGTATTGGACACAATCCCTTCATGCATCCACACATCACCACGGTAAGTAAATGGTGGTCAATGCATTTTGTTTGACTTGACTCAAAAGATGTAAGACCTCAGTGTACCTTTGAATCAACTGTTATAAGTACAACATGGTATTGAGGATAAATAAACCTCCTGATGTGTTCCCACAGGTTTAAAAGCTTAACAATTAGGACCCAAGCTAATGCTGGGGCTGAGACGGCTCCTGGAATCGCTGAGCCCAGGCTGAGGCAGAGGCCAAGGAGGGAGGCAGGTGGCCGACCCCTTTCACTCAGGCAGTCACAGTGCCAATGGCCCCTTCAACCCAAGGCCAAGCAGGGAGGCCGCCCCCACCTGTGTGTTGCTGGTCAAGAATCACCAGGCCTCCTTAATTCCATTTCATTTGACTTTACTTAAATCAAATCAAAGCAAGTGGCAGTAACCACAATACAATAGAAGACTGGCATCTCTGAGGGATAAGACCTGAGACCTTCACAATTCCCAGGCCCACAAGCACCACTATGGAACAGCTGAAAAATTTAGGTCCTGCTTCTGTGTCTTGAATGTGTGCTATGACAGGTAAAGGCGTCAGAGAGCTGGGGATGACAGCTGCTCTCCCTTGCAACTGCTTTTCAGTCTTAGCAAAATGGCAAATTTTGCTAAGAGTCCACATGATCTGGACTTTTCATTCTCCTATGAAACCACAAACGCCATGGCCTCACATTCAAAAGCCAGTCTACTTCACCACCTTCAGAGACAACCTCTGAAGATCAGAGAGCAATCCTGGGATAAATAGGACTCCTCAAGATTTAAGATATGAGTCAGAGTGGCTCACGCCTCTAATCCCAGCACTTTCGAGGCTGAGGTAGGTAGATGGTTTGAACCCAAGAGTTCACGACCAGCCTGGGCAACAGGATGAAACCCCCATCTTGACAAAAAATTATCCTGGTTTGGTGGCATGCCTGTGGTCCTAGCTACTCAGGAGGCTGAGGTGGGAGGATCACTTAAGCCTGTGAGGTCAAGGCTGCAGTGAGTCACAATCACACCACTGCACTCCAGTCTGAGCAACAGAGTGAGACTCCGCCTCCAAGAAAAGATGTGAGCAAGGCTTGCTGGATGTCTGAAACAATCTCTGGTAGGAGATAGGAGAAAATTCTGGAAACCTGCATAACAACCAAGGCTTTAGAGCAAGTTTGTCCAACCTGTGGCCCACAGGCCACATGTGGCCCAGGATGGCTTTGAATATTGCCCAACACAAATTTGTAAACTTTCTTAAAAACAGTATGAGAGGTTTTTGCAATTTTTTTAAAGCTCATTAGCTATTGTTAGTGTTAGTGTATTTTATGTCTGGCCCAAGACAATTCTTCTTCCAATATGGCCCAGGGAAATGAAAAGATTGGACACCCCTGCTTTAGAGCTTTTCAACATGTGCAGATCATAGTCATATATTCAATGTTTTCTTCATTTACATTAAGGTCTCCTGTTTGATTTAAATACTTACATCATTTTCTAAAAAATTAAACATGCTTCTTTCAGCCAACTCCTTTGACTCTTCAAATTTTTCTACCGCTTGTCTGACTTCTTCGTCTGGTATCTTACCTACTCTTTTCTTTTTATAATCATAATCCAGGCGGCGGCCTTCCAGCTTTTTCAGGTGGTGCTAAAGAAAGAGAAAGGAGTCCCTCAGAGAGGCACTACATTCAAAAACCGGCACGAAAAATTACTTCTATGAAAGTGGTCATTGCTTTTTCTCGGCCTAGATTCCAGAGGGCAGGAACCCACCCTGCACTGCTGTTGGGAGCACCCCAGCACCTGATGGAGGCTCCCCTCACTTCAGGTGCTCAAAGAATATTTGTGGAATGAAGGAATGAATGGACAGATCAGTGATAGAATGAGTGTCTGTATAGCACATAAAGATGCTCAGATCCATGCTCAGATATTATTTTCAAGCGTTCTTTATACGATCCCTCACTTCAGCCTTCTTAATGTCCAGGTAATTTCTAACCAGGTTAACCAAGCAAAACAAAATAGGAACATTTATTTTGGCACTATTGTCAACTCCTGACTAAGTAGTAAGTAGACTATAAAAACACAAATTTCTACTGTCCCTTAGAATATTAATGGATCTCCATAAAGTTCCAAAATAATCATAAGTTGCATAAAATGCTGTTAATGAATACAAAGGAGAGCTATTACTCACAGACGACCTCTGAAGTGATAAAATTTCTAAACAATATAATAACCCCTTTAACAAAATATAATCGAACTGTCCACGCGTGGAACAGGCTGCCTTGTGTAGCAGTAGGTTTCCCATCACAGTTTGTGTCCAAGCAGAGAAACCCCATGTCAGAAACAGTGTAGAGGGGTATAGCTATATAGGACAAGGGAGGGAGAGGTTATGGCTGTAATCCTCGTAAATCTTGACATCTAAAGTGTATGTGGAAACTGATCATCCCACTGAAGCACAGAGATAACTTGCACTATTCATTTTAGCAGGAAGCACTGATTCTAATTTCCATGACTCAGTGAAAAGAGCACACTGGACCCAAGGAGTAAGAAGCATCTCTCTCCTATGCTCTGAAACTTTGGGCTGGTCCCTAATCCCCCTGTACCGCTACACAGACACCTGAAAGTAAGCCATGTGTCAAACAAACAGGCTCCTGACCCCTGATTTCTGAGGGACACAGAGAAGAGCTGAGACTGTAAAAGGCTTCCTAAACCTTGGACTCTTCACTTTCCATCATCCACATAATTTAAGTTTAGATGTACAGTTCTACATCAAACAGCAGCTGAGTAACAAGATGGCATTTAGAAAATTATTTTGTTCCATAGGGAACTGCAACATTTCAGAGTAAGTGTATTATACACATTTCACCCACTTACTACTCAGGACCACATATGTGTCTATGGCTGGCCAGGTGAAGGAGCAGGGCTGACTTTTCACATGACCTTCCTCCATGATGACAGCACAAGAAATGAAACTTGCTAGATGTCAGCAAAGGAGGCATTTAGGGGAGATGTTTTGGCATCCCCAGAACCCAGACTATCACTTCTCTAGGATCAGCCATTCAAAAATAATTTATAAAAACATCTCCTATACCCCATCAACATATATACACCTACTACACACCCACAAAAATTAAAATTTAAAATTTAAAATAATGTGTGAGCACAAACCATGTGGCAGGCTTGTGGTTGCACCAAGGAACAAACCACGATGCCTCACCCCGAGGAGTGGGCTGCCCAACATGAGAAAAAAGTAAGCAAGAGTGCTCATGACGCAGGGGGCACAGAAGGGGCACCCCATGGAGTCTAACAAAAGAACAAACAGCTTCCCAAAGGAAAGCATATCTGGGCTGAGGAGTGAGGTGACTTGGCCAGGAGAAGGGGTAAAAGGACAAAGACCGCTCTTGATCCCTGGCATCACATTGCACTCCCTCCTGTCCATTCTCCAGCCCACAGCTAGGGCGCCCTTCCTGATCTGCAAACTGTCCTGGCTGCCCACAGACAGTGGAGTGAAGATGCAGCCCCTCAGCCCTTCACGGCCTGGCCCCTCCTTTCCTCCGTGGCCTTATTGCCACCCCTTCAGCACATGAACTCCACCCAGCCTCACTGAATTATTTCCAGCTCCCTGGTGACGCTTTGCTTTGTGCTTTCTCCCTATTTGCACACCCCAGACCCCCAGTCTGGAAAGAATGAGCTGGAACAGTGGTTTTTGAACATTAACATGGCTCCGAATCACCTGGAGGACTTTATAAAACACATACTTGCGGGGCTTCACCCCCAAGATTTCTGATTAAGGAGGTAACGAATGGGGCCCAAGAATCTGCATTTCTCACAAGTGATGCTGATGTTGCTGGTCCAGGGACCATACTTTGAGAATCAATAGGTCTGAAGAAGGGAAAACACGATATGCCCAAGGCCCAAATGGCCTCCAAGCTGGCCCAGGCTGCCCTCAGAGGGCACCTGGAGGAACATCTTCTGTGTATATCCATAAGAGAGTGCTTGTACCTCCAGAGTAGAAGTCCCTGGTGGTGCAGAAGTCTCGGGGCTGTTTTTGTACATCTACAAAAATGCCACCATGCAAATGGTATGCAGTTACTTCCAGGTACCTGAAAGTTCCCATGCAAGCCATTTTTAACAGTTTTCCAAATGAAACATTCAATTTCTAGGTACTGATTTTCTTGAGAACTAATGGAAAATAATGACCACCAGGGCAACACATCAAAACTTGCAACTATGGTGTGATTTTGATAATAAAAAAATCAACTACAAAGTTATGCAATTACTTTATGTGATAAATGGTACAGAAATATGGATTTTTAGCCTGGCTTTGAGCTGGCTTCAATAGATACAGAATTTCCAGCTGGAGGAATATGGCTTACATCCCGTGCCATTATCCTGCCCTATCTCTAGGGTAGACAGGGCTAATGGATCCTGGCACTCCTTTCCAGTGAACCCAGGAAAATAAAACTGAGTTATTTTTACCCTACCTACAAGTCTCATGATTCCCTCAGTGAGTCTCTGTCAAAACGTTCTAATGATTTTAAATATAAACATCATTTTGCAATAGTATTTATATCCTGGAAGACTTACCCCAATCTCTTTTAAATCTTTATCTTGTAGTAACTGAAGTGGATCAATAAAAGTTTGCTTTACATTAATATCAAGAGAGTCTTTCACCTCAGCCATTAGCTTCATGGATTCACCAACTTCCATCAATGCATTGCCTTGAATAGAAAACACAAATACAAAAGGTTCTTTGGGAGACTACTCCAGGTTAACAGTGCTATTTATTTCATTCTTTACCAAAGTCTGTGGATGATGGTGTAGCAAGGTCCTTGCTCCAGGGCCTCTGAATTCTGGATCAGAATGAAAAAGGAAAAGCAAGGCTTCCTATTTTCCGCGTTTTCCTCTCTATGTTCTGCACTTCACCACCACAGCAAATACAGCTGAGGCGGGCAGACCGAAGTACTTAACATTTGGGCCCCTAGATGGGGATAAAGATCCTTTTTAAAAAACTGGTACTTTGGGAAACTGGCACAGAGGGTTCCTTGGAAGCTTGAGAATAAAATCTCTTTGTAAACAATGAAAGGATTCACTCATGTTTTAACCAATAAAGATTACAATAGAAATAAACAAATAAAACATCCCAGCTTCTAGCTGTGGAATCTTCTCAAGGCTACTCCCTGTATCCTTCTAGAAGGTTCTAAGGCTCCCTGCCCTCTCTTGATGTCAAAGAAAGCCTGCTGATGTCACATGGCACATCCTGTCAGCAGGGTGGGGTGGGGGTCTGGTTGTGCACTGGGGCCCAGGCCAGCCTTTCTGGCTTGGGTAGTGACAGGCAGTTTTTCCTGGATTACAGCGTGGTATCTCAGTCCAGTCAATCTGTAGTAATTTGCAAGACTATTGCAAACCAGGTGCCCTCTAGTTCTCTGTACAATGAGGGTTGCAGGGTCTCTGGAAAACATGCCTGGCAAACGCTGCCCTAGAATGAACTATTTTTCCTATATTTGGGGTTTTCCAAATTGATCTTGTAAAAAGATGGAGATTGAGTTGCTCAATTTCTAGGCTTGAAGAAGATCTTAAAGCCCAGCCTAAGTCTGACCTTTGAGTTGTTTCCCCCATCAGTCAAGGGCATGGATAACGTATTCCCCTGTAAAACAGAGATGGCGGCTGGGTGCAATGGCTCACACCTGTAATCCCACCATTTTGGGAGGCCGAGGTGGGCAGGTCATGAAGTCAGGAGTTTGAGCTCAGCCTGACTAACATGCTGAAACCCCATTTCTACTAAAAATACAGAACTTAGCCAGGTGTGGTGGTGTGCGCCTGTAATCCCAGCTACTGGGGAGGCTGAGGCAGGAGAATCACTTGATCCTGGGAGGCAGAGGTTGCAGTGAGCTGAGATCGCACCACTGCACTCTAGCCTGGGCGACAGAGCGACAGTCAGTAAAAAAAAAATAAAAATAAAAATAAAAAACCAGAAACATACTAGATAGATAGGACCTTGCAAAACAGAAGTAGGAACCGTTATTCTAAACTAGGGCTTTCCCAGGACTCCATCTGGACCCAGTGGTAGCTTCACTGCTCCTTGGAAGCTAAATTTCCTTAGCTCAATTCTCCAAAGTGTGTTTCTAAATCATTCCTAAATGAAGAAGAAATGTCCCTTCCTAGCCTGTGGACCCTTTTCCTGCCCAAATGGTGAGAAATGGTATTGCCTGACCCCCCAACCCAGCCCCTCTGCCACCAGTGCCAGTGCCTCAATATGTCAATGACAGAAATATTTTCATACGTTGGAGACTCCAAAGATGACACTCTGAACAGGGGCCACCACCTCCCTAAATCTGACATTCCCTCTCCTTGTCCGAGACTGGTGCTGTCAAATTCCACCCGGGTCTGGGGCTCAGCTTTCACCCACTGAGGTTTCTGCACTGTAGGAGGTCCCAGCATGTGGCCCCCTCAAAAGAAAACATCCAAAGGCACAGCCTCTTCCTTGGAACAGCAGAAGCCCTTCTGTTCCTGATGCCCTGCTGACATCAGTTCTCTTTCTTAACCCGAGTTCCTTTAGGTTGCTGGGCACCTGGGAAGCTACCAAACTGTCTGGCTGTCACCAAGGCCAGGTGCACAGTAGGGACGTCCTTGGATTTCAGGGCCTGCCTGGCAGTCTCACCTGTTCCCTTCACTGATGTGCCTTCGGAGTAAGAAATAGGCCATCTTGGCCCCATTGGCCCTTGGAATGAAAATAAAATTCACATTATACTGCTCTAAGGGTTAATGTTACCCTTTGTCACTAATTAATGTTTGGATGCTTGCATTTTAAAATTTTTTTCAAAAGATATTTTCTTCAATTTCCTAGAATGATTACTGTGGCCAAATATTTGATTTCTCAGCTTTCATCTCCTGCCTTTTTACTACTACATGAATAGCAAATATGCCAAATTCTTTTGGAATACCTAATACATTAAATCCAATTCATCCTCAATTTAATGTATTAATTTAAATGAGTCTCAATCAAAATTTAATGACTTTTTTAAATAGCAGGGACTTAAGTTTCACCTGGAAAAATAAAACCAGTAAATGTGTCTGTGAACTTTTCACAATAAAATACCTAAATTTTTAGTAAAATATATTAAAGTATGTTTTAAAACTTCAATGCTTAAAACAACATGACGCTGAATCAAAACAGGATATAGATCAAGAAACAAAAGAGAAAGACCCTAAACAAGCTTAACGTATAAAAATTTAGTCTATAATAAAAGGATCATTTCAAAACATCAGGAGAAAGCTGGATTTTTCCATAAAGTACTGGAACGAGCTATTTATTTGTCAGAAAACACAATTGAAACCTGATTGCACTATAGCTCCAATAAATGCAGGAGCTTGGAAATCTAAAGTTAAGAAAAGAAAATACAGGATTCAAAAACAAGCATAAATAAATATTTATATCCTTTGCCAGGGAGTGGAATGAAAAAGATTTTCTAAACATGATTCCAAAAAGCTAGAAACCATAAATAAAGGAAGACTAAAGGGCTTCATTAAATAAAAAATAAAAATCTGTCTCCATTGAAATGACCTTCATAAACAAGGTCCAGAGGTAAATGCTTACCTGGGACAAAACTTCGTCAACATGCAAGACAGTCAATGAGCAAGTATCCTGACCATTTAAAGACCTCATGAGACAGGAGGGGGAAAAAATTGACCTCCTAATGCAAAAGCAGGCTAAAGACACAAACACACAATTCACAAAACCAATGACAAACACACAAAAAAATTCTACCTCACATGTGATCCAAAACGGCAATGAGATATCATTTTTATACACTACATATCGAATGATCAGTTATTTAAAAGTAAACTACAAAGATAATCCCTGAGGTCAGGAACTGTGTTGAGAAACATACCCTCACTCACTCCTGGCAACAGTGTCAAATGGATGGAACCCTTCTGAAGGGTGAGCTGGGAATATGCTTTCAAAACCTGAAAAATGAGCATACTCTTGACTCAGGAATTTTATACTAGGCATTTTGTCTAAATTCTGTCAAAGAATATAATTTTGGATATCCCCAAAGATCTACCTATGGAAATGGTTATTGTAAATGCTATGTAAAATGTTTTTACATAAAGAAAAATTTATTTAGTAAATGAGATTGACTGAACAAACTATGACACGGAATATTATGTAGCCACTAAAAACAATATCATAGAAGATTATTTTATGATATGGATCATGATATAGTCAGTGTTACCAAAGAGTATATGTACTATGGTCTTACTGCTTTTTTTTTTTTTTTTTTTTGAGACAGAGTCCTGCTCTGTCACCAGGTGCCAGGCTGGAGTGCAGTGGTGTGATCTTGGCTTACTGCAACCTCCACCTTCTGGGTTCAAGCAATTCTCCTGCCCAGCCTCCCAAGTAGCTGGGACTACAAGTGCATGCCAACATTCCCAGCTAATTTTTGTATTTGACTAGAGATGGGGTTTCACCATGTTGGCCAGGATGGTCTCGATCTCTTGACCTCGTGATTCACCCGCATCGGCCTCCCAAAGTGCTGGGATTACAGGTGTGAGCCACCGTGCCCGACCTTATTGTCGTTTTTAAAAGTACATATGAATACATATAATAAAAATAAACAAGGCATAAAAGATACACAACAGGCCGAGTGCTGTGGCTCACTCCCATAATCCCAGCACTTTAGGAGGCCAAAGTGGGCGAACTGCTTGAGGTCAGGAGTTCAAAACCAGCCTGGCCATCATGGCGAAACCCTGTCTCTATTAAAAACACAAAAAAATAGCCAGGCATGGTGGCTTGAGCCTGTAATCTCAGCTACTCAGAAGGCTGAGGCACAAGAATTGGTTGAACCTGGGAGGCGGAGGTTGTAGTCAGCCAAGATAATGCCACTGTACTCCAGCATGGGAAAAGACCAGGTCTCAAAAAAAAAAATAAGATACACAACAGAGTTTAATTAGGCCAATCAGTGGCTATGGGATTACAAGTGACGTTAGCATTTTTCTTTATTTTACTTACCTATCTTTTCTAAACCTCCTGCCATTTAACATGTATTACTTTGGTAATGTGGAAAAATAACAAAGGTTGTTAAACAAAAGGGTTTGTGCATAACCTAATAGCATACTAGAGGAGTTCTCAGCCCCCCCAGGTGATCTCTGAATAACTCACCAAAGGTGGAGTCTTCCCCGAGCTCCTTCCCATATTTCAGCATACAGTCCCCCAGCAAGCCTTCTGTCTGCGGGTATCCCGTGGTCTTCACCTGCCCTCGGATCTTCGACACAGTGTTCAGCATTCCTAGCTTAGCTCTGTATGCTTAAAAACATTGTCATTTGTAATTCTTTAAAGTTACAAGATGGAATGACAGGTACATAGCATTTAACAAACACAGCTGCCAAAACTGAGATCACCTTAAACAAAATGCCAGCAACCCGAGGTCTGAAACGAATGTGTGTGAACTATTTAATTTTCCCACATAATTTTCTAGGTTCTTTACCAAGGTGGGTGCTAAATGCCCTGTTGCACAGCCATCATGAACCACAGAAATGATGGCGCACATTGCTGACTTCAAATAATAGTGACCCAGGCTTTTTTGAGCACCACCCCTCAAGTGAGACCCTTTGGAAAGCTTGCAATTGCTAACACATGAAGTCAGACACTGACCCTGTGTGAGGCCAACATGCTTTTTCTTTAAATGTAAGCAAAAACAGAATTGCCAGGGAGGATGTTTCAAATAACCAACTGATCGCTCTCTCACTCTTCCCAAGGACTGATTCGGCCTAATCATATTCAGAATTATGGGAGGCAGGTGCTGCTGTTTAGGAGGCAGACCCATAGGAAGAGACAGAACCCCCCCCCCACCTCAGTGAACACTAGGCTTGTGTGGCTGGTCCCAGGTGCACCTCAGCCCCTGCTCCCTAAGGAGGTGATGGGCATCACTGTCTTATCTTCCTTTACTTCCTCTGACTCAGGCAATGAGTAAATACTCATTGCTGCATTGGGCCCTGTGCAACAACACACTTGCTTATTACTGGGACTCCAGAGACAGCCTTTGCCCTCAAGGAGCTCACAGTCTACTTCCCACTGTCGGAGGGGGATGTGAGATGCAGCAGGAATGTAGGTGAGAGCTATTGAACTGGGTAAGAGGTTGCTAGGGCTGCCTCTTCTCTAGGAATAACTAGAGACCCCTGGCCAGTAGACACTTTTATTGTTGGCCAACACCTCCTTATCCCATTCAAGGGTCAGCTGGTTGAGGGTGGAGTATCTGTCTGACTTCATAGTGTATTCCAGCACCACAAAATCCTCTAGTGCAGAGAAAGCACTTATTAAATATTTGACTGACTATCAGGAAAACAAATTGACATGGCTCATTTCAATCACTGATGCAGCCAGGGGGAAGATACATTCTTATGGTTTTCAAAGCTATTATCATCAATGCAATTGTAACGAACCTGCCTGGATACAGCTGATAAAATTTATATTCTTAAATTTACTTTCTCAATTTTCAAATGGTTAGGTTTGTGCTGATTCCTACAGCCGAGGGAATCACAGGAACTCCATGCAAATAATAAATTTCTAAAAAGGAAAGTCGGCTTCAGAAATCTACAGAACTCAAGGCTTAGGCGCCCTCTACTGGTTCCTATAATCTACAACTTGGGAAAACATCTAAGTCCCCAAGAAGCTGCTTGGGGACCTAGAAACCCAGACCTTCTGTGGAGAAGCTGATGTGACATTGGACGTACACTGTCTTTCATATTCACCACACCTTCTTTCTACAGCATTTGAGCCATGAAGAGAAAGCCCTTTCAAATTAAGATATACTTCTATGTATATGGTATACACAAAAGCAGAATTTAAAAAATTATAAAGAGGAAATAAGGGAATAAGAAAATATTTGCCAAATGTTTAGTGGCTTTCTGAAGTAACTCATAAAAAAACCTTTACCCAGCGCTGCCTCGTTGCTATGGCCAGAACTCCATTCGGATGATGTCAACTGAAGTTCACAGAAATAGTTGTTCTGTTTCTCATCAGTAGGACTGAATGCAACTACCTTTGGTCACCAGAGACTCAGCTTTAAAAATTAAATTTCATTAATGGGACACAGAGGACACTGTTACTAGATTACGTCAACTAAAGACCAAGTAAACATGGGTTATTAGGGTCTATGACAGCAAATAGATGAGAATATTTCAACTTTACCTGGATTTGGCTGAAGATATTCAGTGGTTTTTGAAAGAATTTCTGCAACAGCTTTATTGGTAACATCTATTTTCTTAAAAGCAAAATTTTTAAAACATTAATAAATGACAAACACAATAAATTCACAGAATAACAAATAGAGGAGTAATTTTCATTAATTTAATTCTTATAACACCAGTATGATGATTTTATCCAAATGAACGTTTTCAATATTTTTGGGAGAGGCAACATTTTTTGGTTTTGATTTTGGAACATCACCTCCTTCCAGTGCTGCTGGAGAACATTAATTTACTTTTCCTTTTAACATTAAAATGAATATTAAGGTAATACTTAGAAAATATGCAAAAGTTATTATGCTCCATTAGATTATTAGATATACTTGGAAGTCTCTCAAAGCTAACACTAGACATGAATCAAACTCTCCTTATCCAATAGGTGAACCTGAATTTCTATACTTACATAAGGATGTCATAATAATGATTCATATTGGCAACTAGCTCAGTAATCACCAAAAAAGAATCATAATCATTAATATAATACAATAAACATATTCATTTGTGCTATGGTCAGAAGATGTTAACAGCAAAGTTTTCCCCAAACTTTCCCTGAAAGTTAACCCTTCCTGGTTAAGACTGAATCTTTCCTTGTGCAAAACCATTCCTGGACTTTCTGGTTGTTAGTTAACCAGAGAGCTAATATGGGAATAGACAATAAAATTAAAATGCAAGTTGCAATAGCTTTATTTATACCATCAGTAGTCCAGGAGAAAATGTAAAGAAAAAGATCTTATTCCTAAAAGCAATAAAATGCAATAACAAGGAATAACTATTATGTCACATTTACAACACCTATTTGGAAAACCACATTCTTAGATGGGAAAACTCAATTTTGGAAAGATATGCATTCTCCCCAAATTAAGATGCAAAATTCATTCAAATCCCATCATAATTTCAACTTTTTTTGGTTACAATTTGGCAAATTAATAGTAAAGTGATTTTTCATACTATATACATGATTAAAAATATCAATCTAAAAAAAAATATAAAATGACTAAGATATTAAGGACAGTATTTTGAAATACTGGAGTGAGAATAAACTTCTAACCAGGACCTGAAACTCAAATGTTATAAATAAAAAGACCAAAATTCTGACTCCATAAAAGCTTAGAAACTGAACAGGAAAAGACACAGTATGTGAAGTTTGACAAAAGTGACCAACAAAAATATATAAAGACAAAGGGTTCGTATCTATAATACTCAAAATTCCCATTTAAACAAACAAGAAAGAAGGAAAAGGCCGGGCAAGATGGCACACACCTTTAATCCCAGCACTTTGGGAGACTGAGGTGGGTGGGTCTGCTTGAACCCAGGAGGCAGAGGTTGTAGTGAGCCGAGATTGTGCCACTGCACTCCAGCCTGGGCAACAGAGCAAGACTCCATGTCTTAAAAAGAAAGAAGGAAAAGAGGAAAAACACAAGCTGCCTACAAAGATTTGAAAAAATATTCACAACTGTAAATAAAAAGGAGATACTTTACACTCTCCATATTGTTAAAACATTTTTTAAATCAATTATACCCAATATCAGGTTATTATATGGGTGTGGCATAATGGGTCATTTCATACACAACAGGAATGCAAAAGGATACGTCTTTGGAGATCAAGGCAGAAGTTCTTATTAACAGGCATATTAATGAGCCAGCTATTATATTTCTAAGGATTTATCCTTTTAGAAACACACCAGCAAATTGCAGTGAAGGGGAAAACATGTTCATTAGGCCATTTTATGTAATATTGAAAATGGAAATCAATAGGAGACTGATTGGATAAATTATGAAACATCCAAGTAAAGGAATACTCTTTAATCATAAGGAAAAAAAATAAGGAAGATCGATATTCAAAGTACATTGCTAAGGAAGAAAGCAAGCTGCAGAGCGATTTATAATAAAGACACCATTTTTATAATTTAGAAAACTATGATCTGGCCAGGTTCACAAGTTTGCAACAAAGCGTCTTGTCCACCCTGAAATGGCATTTGTTCCCCTTAGCTAAATACATTAATTTTGGCTAAATATATTAATTTGGAGCCCCAGGAAAGTTTTAAAAGACAATACAGAAATGATTTTTTTTTAAAAAGGAATCAAACCTATTACTGATACTCGTGTGCTGTGTGTGCAAGTGGGCATGTGTGTGTGCATTTGGCCTAGAAACAAGTTTTGTGACTTTGAGCTGTCTTCGGTATATTCAGCTGTTTGCCAAGATCTTTGAAATATTTAAGAGAATCCAATAACCTAAATGTTTATGTCTGAATTAGAGTTATAAGAAACATAAGGGCTTAGGAAAATGCTGTTATAGATTTGATGTGAAGTTGAAGGGAATCCGACACCATTGCCTTTGTGATTATAGTTTGAAACGTCTAGAAGAATTTGCTTAATTATATAACTGGTGGTAAATATTTAAGGATCGAATCTGTTAAGCTTATGGGTTAATTAATGCAACCTCAAATGAAAATTAACTATAAGATTATCATCTTATAGCAAAAGTACTAAATTTGGAAATAAGATTCATAAGTTCAGCTCAAAGCTTAAGAAGAATGAGGATTTTTAGATTTACAATGTAACAAATTAGATATTAATTAAAACACAACTTAGAGTGTTCCCTTTGATATACACAACCCTTTTGGACATGAAGTCACCAGAAAGCTAAGGGTCACCTTGGAATGATGATGATGATGAGAGGAATTAGAGTGGGGGCATTTTCTACTTCAGATGTTTTTATAACTTTTGAAACAAAAAAGCCCAAGAAACAAATGACCAAAAGCTTGCAAGTCCTCATAGGCCCTGGCATGCACATACTGGGGCTGCCACCCACTAGCCCAAGCATCAAAGCTAGAAGTAAACCCTTTACAAATTGAAGAGTAAACATGTTGGCTAATGTGGACAGTCAAGATGAGCATCAAAAACAACAACAACAAAACAAATAAAAATTCATGTAGCTTAACAAACAAAATCTCCCTCCTAGAATAACCAGGGACACTAGTGTGTGTGTGTGTGTGTGTGTGTGTGTGTCTGTGTGTCTGTGTGTGTGTGTGTGTGTTTTCAAGTCAACAAAATGCTATGCAACTATCTTGCCAAACCATTAAGAAAAACATAGAAAAGCAGAGTGGTGAAAATTATTTTTTGAAGTCAACCTGGTACGAAGGCATCCTGGTTAGTTAAGTCTGGAATTTCTGTTTAATGCTGGCACCCTGCCCATGAGGCGTCCAAAGCCTGTGCCATTGACTCCTTTAAGCCTAGCCCCTGAGTGGGAGACCTGCTAGCACCTCTCATTTCTGATGCTTATTTATGGTACTCTCTTTAAAAAAATGCTATCAGTGGGAACATCCTCTTTCTTCTTCCTTATGTAATTGGTGTTTTTCCTTTTTCTCCCTCTTGGTCAAACTTGGTAGAGGTTTGTTGTTTTTCAGGTTTTCAAAAGCTCTTGGTTTTATTGTTTCTATCTTTTTGTGGTTTTTTTCTATTTTATTAATCTGGCTTTAATTTATATTGATTTCTGCCTTCTACCTAGAGTGATTTAATTTGCTGTTATTTTCCTAGCTTCTTGGATTGCATGATTTATTCTTTTTCTCCCAACATTTATTTTCTTTAAATACATTTAAAATTTAGCCACATATCACAGGTTTTGACATGCAGAATTGCCACTTGTGCCTAAATAATGTCATTTTACTTTCTATTTGCTCTTTAAGAATTATTTTTACATATTTTTAAATTTCCAAAGCTGTACCTTCCCTTATAATTCTTGTGTTATATAGTATCACTTTGGAAAATTTATCGAGTTTTTTTTCTGTAACCTAGTATATAATTACTTTATTTGTTCCAAAGGAATTTGAAAAAAATGCACATTATCCATTTGGAGGGTGCAGATATTTATATTTATTTATAATCAAAGTTATGAATCGTATTCAGTGCAAATCCTCCATGAGCCTATTGATTATTGTCAGTTTAATCTATTTTATGAGAGAGGTATGTGAAGTCTACTTCTATTTTTATCAACTATCCATGTATTTCTCACAGCTCCTACCTTACAAATTCAGATACTAACTATTATAATTTCCTGATAGACTACATTGACTGTATCTTTTTATAATTAAAAAGCTTTTTTCATTTAGTGCTTCTCTTGTATCAAATTTTATTTTGATTTTACTATTGTTCCTCTATTTTTATATGGCTAACATTTATTATAGAGTATATTTTCCTATTACTTTCTCATTTCTGTGTCATGTTTTAGGTGGGTCTAATACTATCTAATGCATCTCTTCTGGAAGGTTGTTAAAACTTCTGGTCATATATTATATGTTTCCATGCTTTTCAATGCTGTAATAAAACACATAACAGACTTTATATATTTTTCTGTAACTCACTGGGGTTTTTGGAGGGAAAAAGAGGTAAGCGAGAAGGATCTCAATCCATCAACTGACACTAAAGCTCTTGAAAAATGCTTTCAAATTTAACATTTCAACTGGATCATTTTGTTAGTAACACAGCTACAGGTCACATCTTTGTATGTTGAGTTTTTTAAGTAATTTAAAGCATGTTAATGGTGTGAACATGTTTCTATGGATTTAAGATTCAGAAATTGTTTTTCAAAAGCAAAAACAAAATCAGCTTTTCCTCCTCAAGGCATTAACATTTCTAGACACTTAATAGCTCTCCTCCAGAAAACAGAGAACTCCCTGGAAGATGAGCTGGCCAGAGCCAAGGTATCCTGATGAGATACTCTCCCAGGCTGTACACAGCCTGGGGCTGGACTTCCTTCCCCAGCACCTGCTGACATCTCTGCTACCTGCTGCATCTGCAGCCTTGATGTTGCACCTGAGGGTGGATGCCTTGCTTCATTTCCTCCCTCTCTCCTCTGGGAGGGTCTAATTGTTAAAACAAGGCTATGTTTAAAAGGCCCAGACAATGAGGAAAGAAACAGTATCTTGTTAATGCTGGTGGTTCTAGTTCTACCTCCACATAAGCAACTCCACACAGCTGACTGGGAAACATGTTAAGAGACAGAGATGATACCATTTTTCTTTGGAGCACGTTACAATTATTTCTGTTCCAAGCAAGTCATATTTTTTCTCTAAGTTATTTCAAATACGTTAATGTTTGCGTTATTCTCACAACATCCATGTGAGGCAAGCAGGGCACACTTATCATCCCTGTATCAGTTCAAAAAGATAAATTAACTTATCCTATCACACTGCTAGTTCTAGTGGCAGAACCAGGAGAAAAGTTTATTATGCAGCTCCTGCAACACATAGGAATGGAGCCTGAGTCTTCCATATGGTGAATAAATCATTATGCATTTGAAAAATCTTGTTCCAGAAATACATTTTGATTATCCAAAACATGCACTACCAATTACTGTGGCCTTGCCATTACTGCCAAGATTGCCCATCTTTTGCACATTCTGACTTCTGGCCACTAGAGGGAACCAGTTAGCTACATCGATCTCATTACTCCACTTGCCCAGTCTGGATGTGGCTACAGCAGGGAGGATCTGATTTGGCTGGGATGTCGGAAAGCACAGCCTTGTGGACTGCATAATCCACACCTATAATTTAAACACCCTAGATTTCCACTCGAATATTCTTTACAATAGCAGTATATCTCATATCACAATGAAAGTCAGTTTCTAATCAATTTACATATTAAAATGCTTTCTTACCCTTTCCATGTCAAGAAATTCGTCGTCTAGTTTAGTTCCTTCAGCACCACTTATTTTTTCACTAAACAGCTGCAGAAATAAACATAAATAATTGCACTGTACAATGATTTATCACAGTTTTTGACATAAATTATTAAAAACAAAAACAAACAAAAAAACTTGGATTCAACTTGTTGGATTTTTCTGAACTAAGTCCTTTAAGAAAACTGTTGAACCCCCGGGGTGACCATATCTAAAGACATAGGAAGACAGACATTTCTTATGCAGTCAACAGATGTTTATTATGCACCTCCTACAGGTAAACCACATGGTAAGTGCTGTAAGACAAAGAGAGATACTTGTCATCAAGGAACACAGTTCAGCCAGAGTCAACACCAAACATTCAACTAAAAAACAAGGAAGGTACAGTAAGAACCATTAAAAACTAACAGTACTAGATACAAATTATTGTAAATGCACTAAGTGGTAGGCATTTCAGTGATGCACAGAGTGAACTCTGAGAGCCCACAGCACTGGGAGTGGGTTTATGCAGGATCTGTTTTCTAGAAGATGTGGCATTTGAGCTGGCTTTTTAAGGACAGGGAACATTTCATCGGGCAGCACTGAAGGCAAGGACTTCTGGGATGAGGCACCATGAACAAAAAGAGCCAGAGGCAGGAATGGATAGGACAGGTTTTCTCAGCCTCAGCTCTACTAATATTTATAGCTGATAATTCTCTGTTGTGGGGGCTGTCCTGTGCACTGCAAGATGTTTAGCAGCACCCCCAGTCTCTACTTGCTAAAGGCTAGTACTGCATGCATGGACACACACACACACACACACACACACACACACCACAGTTATAACAACCAAAAATGTTGCCCAAGAGCTGAGGACAATTTGTATATGGCCAATGTGTTCAAAAGACAGCAATAAATTGTGTTTAACTGTGAAAACTAGTGCAAGGGAGAATGGAGGAAAATAAAATCTGAAAGTCAGGCAACGCCCAGAGCACACAGATTCTCAAATGCCAAGCTAAAGGGTATGAGTGAGAGATCCCTAAAGAGACTTCATCAAACAGTTAGAGAAACCCTTTAGAAAAGCAAGTCTGGCACCAGTTCGGTTGGATTAAACAACGAGGAAGACAAACTGGAAGAAGAAAATATGTTCAGTCATTTTCTTTAGCAAAATACATTAACATTTGTTTATGCCTTTAAAATAGTAATATGAATATGCAAATCCACAGTAAGGGAGGTACCATCAATTAATGGTGAAAAGACTGCAGGTTGTTTTAAACGCAAGTGTAGTAACTACTGCTATTACACATGCAGTATTACAATTTAATAGGAAGAATCTAAGTGGAGACAGTATTTAACTTAAATCTGAAGTGTAAGAAGGAATTTCTTGAAGAGAACAGATACAGAAGACTATGAAATGGCCAGGGTTCTACATCCTCCCTGTCCTGAGTCTCTGCAGTTCCACCCAGCTAGAGCTGGAGTTTATCTCTCTACCCAGTGAATCTGGGTTGGGCTTGTGACTTGTTTTGACCCCACAGAAACAAGCGTTGCTAGGCAATAATAGACCTTGTGTGCTTCCACCCACTCTCTTGAATCACCATTGCTACCCTGTGAATAAGCGCAGACTAATTTACCGAATGGAGAGAAACAAGTGGCCCAGACACCCAGCAAGGAGACAACCAGTCCATCCCCAGAATCAGAGCCACCCAGCTGAGACCAGCCCCACCTGTTGAGGCATGGAAACAGGAGTCCAATAAACAGTGTTGCTTTAAACCACTGAGTCTTGGGGTGGTTTGCCACATAACAGAAGTTATCTGGTACACTAGACAAGAATTCTTTTCAGGCTGAGTACAAAAGTCAGAATTATCCTAATGCCTTGATACAAGGCATAACTTTCAACAGGAAAAATAAAAAATCTCATTTCCACACACCAAGCAGTGTTGTAACAGATGTATCCATCAGTTAGCTCTCCTAAACATTTTCGTTGTTGTTCAGTAGTGAAATCATTGAACATACTGATTCTCAACTTTGAAGATAATAGTCTGAGAATCTAAAGAAAGTTACACAATCTCTCCTGGGGTAGGGAGTGGGGCCTCCACATTTTGTTGCCATGGTAGATTGCAAAAGTGGCCACAGGTTTTGCAGCTCCTCCTATTAAGAAGCTACTCTATTTTTCCACGCTTCAACTTGCTTGAGTGGATAGAAGAGTGTAAACCACACTGTGTAAAGTCCAAATCAGTACTTACCAAGAGGCTCTACAGATACTTCTGCTCACTCTCTGGGGTCCACTGTCACCACTTCCACCTGACTAAGTCTGGGCTGCCTTGTTGGAGAATGAAAGACCATGTGGATCAGAGATCAGCCATCCCACCTGAGCAACCCTGGACCATCAAGTCCTCAGCTCACCTGGCAGCTGACTGGCAACAGGTGAGTGAGCCCAGCAGAGATCAGCCACACCAGCCCATCCACTCAGTGCCCCCAGCCCAAATTGCTGACCCACAGGATCATAAACTAAATGAACATTTTTTTGTCTTAAGTCGCTGTGTTTTGGGATGGTGTGTTATATAGCAAGAGTTGACTAATACAGTGGCCTGCCATTTCCTATAACTGCTGAAACCACAGAAACCCACATGTAGCTTCACATTTTAAAATAACCATTTGAAAATCCCTTTGGCTTGGAGAGGTGGACCTGAAATCTCTTTAATTCGAACCAGTTCTCACTTGTTCAGGTTTTACTTATTCTATTTTCAAAAAGCAAAATGTCTAATAGAAGGAGTAATGTTTCTACTTTCAAGAACAGAAACTAGTGACATGAATATATCTTGTTTGAAAAGACAACATAAGGGATCATTTTCAACAGGAGTCACGGGTAAGTCATGATCATCCCTTTCTGTTGTTCTTGAATTTCCCAGTGACGTTTAGCTGTTTGATACCGTAAGTATAAATACAGATAAAGCATTAGCTGTTTAAGCCACTCAGTTATACTTCAGAGGTCAATGAACAAATATTGTTTGTTGAGCATCTACTATGTGCAGGGACATGACAGGTACTTTTGATAGAAAGATAAAAAAGATAGACGTGATTCCTACAGGGCACCTGGCCTCATTCCAGGGTTACAGGGTTATTTAGGTGCTGGAAGCTAAATACAAATATTCAAGCTTCTACTTCTGGTGAAAATGACTATTTAAATTCAACTCTGATGCACTCCCCATGCTCTGAACACATAGCAAGGATAGATTAAATACCAAAAAAAGAAAACCAGAAAGATAAGCAATGCTCAAAAACAGAATAAACAGTTTTGTGAACCTGAAAATGAACAGAAACAGAAGGTGATGAACAAGGTTGAAGCCTCGGGCCTGCTGGGCTTCTTGAGCCAGCAGTCTGGTTCCTGCTGAGTACAGAGGGATCTAAAAGCGCTCCGTGAGACCAGAGTCTGTGTTCAAGTTCTGCTTACAGCTGGGGGTGGAAAAGCAAATGAGGCTGGAAAAACATATTCAGATGCAAACCCCTGTCTGATGCTACCACATGTGGCAATCTGCAGGCCCAAGGAGACTGAAGAACAAAGAATCAGTCAAATTATACCCCCTCCCCCGAGCCCCAGATCTGTGGCTGGATCCAGATATCCCCAATATCACCATAGAACAGAAACCACAGTTCTGTACTGGGGCCTTGGGAAGCTGAGTGGAAGAAGCCACAATCACTAGACAGATGTGAGCACCAAAGAGGTTAAAAGAGAAATTAAAAGTGACAAAAAGACACTCCCCACAAAATTAAACTTCATCCTAGATCTCAATTCTAAGGCACATGAATAAAATATAATACCAAGAAAGACAGTCAACAAAATTACATAACACGAATTCACTTCTAGTGAAAATATTTTTATGAAACAATAAAGACTTTCTAATGTGTGTTTAATATATTTTTAAAATGATAAAGAAATAACTTCTATTAATGAAGAGCAAGCAATTATTCAAAAGAACAAAAATGTTAAAGACAGATATAAAACATTAGAAACAAAAAATATTATATAGTCATAAAAATGAAAAACCCAATAGATGGGACAAACTCCAGCCTGGGCACAATCAGGAGAGAACTGATAAGCCAGAAAATATTAAGGAACTTACTCAAAGAACATAAAATAAACAGAGACAAATAGTATTTTTTAATAAAATATCAGTTAATCAATAAGAAGGAAAAGTGAGAGATTCCAAGATATAGCCAACAGGCACTCCAGAAAAAAGGACAGAATACAGCAGAATCAATATTTAAGAGTAAAATGGCTCTTTTCTCTCCTGTCATTGAAGGAAGATAGGAGTCTACAGTTTGGAAGTACACTCAAGTACCATGCAAGATGAGTATTAACTCACACCTAGATACAGCAAAATCTTAAGAATAAACAATCCTAAAACTATCACAGGTGAAAAAAACATCCAAATTGATAATAAGATTGACAGCAGATTTCTCTTCTACAACAGCAGATGCCAGAGAACAACAAAGGAATGGCTTCAAAGTGCTAAGAATAAATCGGCTGAGTGTGGTGGTTTATGCCTGTAATCCCAGCATTTTGGGAGGCCAAGGTGGGTGGATCACCTTGAGGTCAGGAGTTCGAGACCAGCCTGGCCAACATGGTGAAACCCTGTCTCTACTAAAATTCAAAAATTAGTCGTGTGTGGTGGCACAATGAAAACCTAGAATTTTCTTGTTTCCTTAAACTGCTGTTTAAGAGCAATGCCAGGTGTCAAGGCTCCTAACAGTTTGGGAGGCTGATGCAGGCAGATCACCTGAGGTCAGGAGTTTGAGCCCAGCCTGGCCAACATGGAGAAACCCCATCTCTACTAAAAATACAAAATTAGCTGGGCATGGTGGCACATGCCTGTAATCCCAGCTACTCAGGAGGCTGAGGCAGGAGAATTGCTTGGACCTGGGAGGTGGAGGTTGCGGTGAGTCAAGATTGCATCATTGCACTCCAGCCTGGGCAACAAGAGTGAAACTCTGTCTAAAAAAAAAAAATCAGCCTGACATAGTGCCATGTGCCTGTAATCCCTGCCACTCAGAAGGCCAAGGTGGGAGAA